AGTCCAGCCATACACGATCTATTCAGTGTGTTTTGGTAGTTTTTCAAGAACGCGGAAGAGCGGCGGACATGTGGGCGTGATCTTTAAGTTTTTGGAGTTGCTCTTTCTCATGGAGCGGATCGCCCCACACTTTTGAAAACAGGAAGCTCAAGTTGCGGATGAGAAGAAACAGAAAGTGAGAACGTAGAGGAGGTATTTATTCGTCTTCTGGTCGCAAGCTAGTCGTTCACTGCGGTTAGTGCCAATATACACCTGTTGTCAAACCTGGGAAGTCCTGCCGGCTCGCGCCTGTGTATGCGTTTGGCTTCGACGTCATCGCTATCCCCCAGAGGTACCTTCCCGTGTGTTTGCCTGAGCTGTAGTCTACCACCTCGATGTTCCGATGAGCGATTTACCAGCTGTCCAGCTGACAGCGGTCCGATACCACAACTGCTGATCAGCACTCACACGACATCCAACGCAGATCCCAACTATTGCATTACCGGCGAAGATCAAAATCACGCATCGTTGGATGCATTCATGAAGATGTGTACAGCTGGCGGCAAACCCGCCCAGCAAAGAACAAATAGATATTGGGTATCAAAACTAAACAAGAAAGGCTATACCAAACTCACGAGGCCAGCTCCGCAACCGCGCCCCAGATGGACGACCAAATCCCTCTCCTCTCAAGTTGCTGTGCCTGCTGGTTCTGCTCCGCACTCACTCTCCGCGCCTCCTCAAGTTCAGCCTCCCAAGTCAACACAGCATCCTTCTCAACTCTAATCGCCAAATCCGTCGGCTGCAACGCAGCCGCCTCTTCAATCAACGTAACCGCCTTAACACTACTCTTCTCATCGCGCATCAACCTCAAACACCTCGCATGCCTGAACAGCATCTTAGCGCTCTGCGCATTACTCGGCGTCCACGTCGCACCCGCATGCTGCGCAAACCGCGCAGCAGCCGTTTCGCACTTGCGCAAATGGCCAATCGCAACGCGGCCATTGCGCTGCACAAGGGGTCCCTGAGATGCGTCGTTCGCCATATCGACTTGCAGGAATTGTGCGTGGAAGAGGTTGAGCGTGAAATAGAGATCGGCGGTTTTATTAACGAAATCCTCGCCGCCGGCTTTTTGCAGGCCCGCCCACGAGGAGGAGTGGCGCATGCGCTCGAGGGTGCGCATGGCGTAGGCCCAGGATTCAGAAGCTGCGTAGAAATTGGATTGTTGCCATTGGCGCTTCCCGACGTCGACGCCGGTGCCGATCTCTTCGATTGTGGACTCCGGGTCTGTCCAGCGGGGTTGCGCGACTTGCGTGCGCACGCTGTCTGCGAGGGCGGGATCGACGAAGCCGGAGATGCGCATGTTGGGGATGCCGCGCAGACATGTCGCAATGGGCTCTAGGAGACGTTCCTGGATCTTCGGGGTGAAGAAACGGGTTTGCGCGTAGTTGAGGCGGATGGTGGCGTTGATGGAGGCGTGTTCTTTGGTCGTTGAGTTCGCATCTGCCATTACGGTTTCGATGTCGAGCTGCTCGCATAATTTCGGCAGATCTGACCGGAGCATCATGATCTCGAACTCGGAGAACTGGAATGGCGATGGCGTGAACGCGGGCTTGGATAGCGTGATGTGCATGACGTGGCCGTCGAATACGCTTACTTTGCGTGCATCGGTTGTTATGACGGGGATGCCTTCGCCGAGGAACAGGTTGCGGGAGTCCAGACCTCGGCATGTGATGCGAACGAATTGGTTGCGCTTGATCATGTAGTCTGACGCTTCGGCGTAGATCTGCTTGTTGGCGCGGAGGAGCGATGGTGAAGGGTTGCTTGGGCTGCGGCGGCTCAGCTTGCTGCTCATGCTGGGGTCTTGCTCGAGTTCATCTTCCCAGGAGCATAGCAGTAGGTCGTAGATGTTGTTTCTGATTTCTCCGGGCAGATCCAGGAAGCGGAATGGTTGAGTTGCTTGGGTGCAAGACATCTTGGTGAATGTTGTTGTGTTTGGCGATTGAATTGCTTAGGAAGTGGTCGGTATGTCGCAGTGGAATGTCGCTCAGGAAGTAGAGTCGCTGGGCAAAGAAGTCGCTCAGGAAGTGTCGCTATGGAATGAAGCTTGTCAATGATCAAGAGAAGAAAAGATGTCGCTGTGGAAGTTTGTCGCTCAGGAAAGAGTATATGTCGCTAGGCCAGTCGGGTTTACATATATACTTTACGCATATGATGATGGGGAAAAAACGTTGAATAAAAGAGGCGGTAAAAGATTTGATTCGTGTTGTCAAGAAATCGCAATCCGCTGGGAAATTTTCGTAGTCTGAGCTCAAAACGTGCATGGGCTAAGGATGTCGAAAATTGACTCGCGGCTTTCTTTGGGGAATCTCGGGGGAGCACGAGCGTTCTTATGCTGGCGGTAGAATGTTCGCCGGGTGGGAAGTGGACCCGCGAAACCGCTGGTGCGAAGTGTGTGAGGTGAGTCGGTTCTGGCGGATCCGTCAGACTCTGTAGTGCGGAGAAGCGTGAATGGAAGGGCCTGAAGCTGCACTGTGATGTCGGACGAGACCGTGCTAGGCGATGTTGGGTGCTAGCCTGCGATCTTTCCCGGAAGACCTTTTTCGCTCTCCCCGACGGAAAACGATCCGCTGGCGCCATGCAAATAGGGGTCTACGGCAATCGTTCGTGATGACTTCGGAGAAAAAGGACATTCCTCGGGCTTATTGCGCGTCCCTGAATCCCCAGATTTGTGTACTTGAATTGAGGCGCGCCCCCAGAAGCCACATTCGAAGTTCCCCGGCCGTCTCCGCACTAAACAGCTCACACCCCCAAGAACACCGCTATTGCTGCGTCCGCTTTTGGTACATGAAGGAGTGTGATTTCAGCCACTAAAGAGCTTGGATTCGCGAGATATGGGGCAAGCATGCTGTGCGACCATCATAGCGCCTACAGCTGACCGGAACATGCTTTCCTCAAGCAGAAGGTCCCACCCACCAGAGGTCATACTCCTATCAGTGGCGGTGGGTTAAGATTCAACTAATGAAGGAATCGCATAATTCACGGAAGAGTACAAAAGCGAACGCTTCCCCTCATCGTGTTACTCGCTCGATGCCGATTTACCCTAGCGTACGTGGAGTAGAGAACAACATGTCCTCTACAGGAGTGGAGGTTGTTGATAAGTGACTTGGATGAAGGAATTCGAACGACATCGCCTGTTGCTTTCTCAGTCCCGCTGATGTCACTGGGAAATCAGTATGACACATGCTTTGCTCTATAGGTTCTAGCAATTGGTTTCAGTGAGCCAGGCTCCTGTCTGTATCGACGGCGTTCACTTCCGCGCCGTCTTTCCCTTGCCCTTCTTCTTCCTGCTCCTGCTCGCTTCCTCCATCTCTTCGAGCCACAGCGCCCCACTAGCCTCAATGTCCTCCCTATTCTGCAACTCCTTCACCACTTTCTGATACGCTTCATTCGCAGCTTCATCCATGTCCTCACCGAATCCATCAGCACCGAATCCTCGGCACTCAAACCAGACGCATGCCAGCGGAACCACGTTAGCCCCCTGCACCCAGCCCCTCATGAGATGCAACCACATATCTACAGCCTCTTCATGGCTGCCGCCTTTGTATAAGAATGTCGCGATGTCACGCACGACACATTCTGGTATCGGGTACTCGTAAAAACCAGGGCCGACCTCCCAAGCCGCTTCGAAGGTGCTCAGCTTAGGGAAGTGCTGCGTGAGGGTATGCGCATCCCGCAATATCTCCAGGAAAGTCTCTCTAGGTTGCTGACGCTTGCGGAAATGACCGGTACCATCGCCTCCATCGAACAGACTGTTATGGCTCGGCGCTATGCCGTACCTTCCATACGGTCGGGGTACCGTATCATGGTACAGGTGCCTTATCTTCGTTGCCGTAGCAGCAGCACGGTCAGGGAATAGACGAAGCAAGCCGCTGAGTGGCTTGTGAAGTCCTTCTCGTGGGCTGTACTTGGCAGATAGCGCAATAGTGTTGGAGCGCCCAAATGCTTGCATCGCCTCATGGTAGACCTGTCTGGAAACGAGGAAAAGGTTGATAGCGTCTTCGCACGGCCCGATATCCTTCAGATCTGGATTGCGGTGCGCATTGTAGTATATGCCTTCTGGGCGGTAGACAACGTAGTGGAAGATTCTGTCTCGAAGTTCGCGTGGGAAGTCGAACAGCTTGAATGCGCCGGTCCACTTGGGTAGCTGAACCCTGTCCAGAGACCACGGGGGGATGCCTCTGCCAGAACAACCGCGTCCCACGATGTAGGAGTGTGGCTCTGCAGGAGTAGGCGCTGCTGGTGTTGGGCGGGCGAGGAGTATTGAACCAAATGCTGCTTGGAGTTCAGGAACAGATGATTCGACTTGGCCTGTGGTTGCCATTGCGTCCTCAAGGATGTCGCGTAGGTCCGTGCTTTCTGTTACTGAGGAAGCCACGATAGTTGCAGTGACTGTTATTGCTGGTACCGAGTGATGATGCTAAAGTCGAGGTCCTCACGAAGCAGTATATAGTGTACCTACTACATGCACTGCCACAGTGAGTCAAGGCGTGGCTTTAATTCGGGACTACTCTACGACACATCACTTTTAGCTTCTTCGACTCACCGCTAAAAGATGTCATTGGTCTGAAAGCGTGGTAAGGCATACAGCGACAGTGTATAGTGCTACGGAGGACTCGCGATGGACTGCGATTGGAGTAAGCTTAAGCGATGCGATGCATGGGGTTGTGAGTGGTGAAAGTATCTGGGCACATAGACGCAGCTGTCGGTCTATCTAAACGAGTGAACGAGCACAAAATGAGAATGCACATCGTGCTAGCGCATGTGAAAGCAATTGTGGTAGACTTGGGATTAAGCATCGCGGGAGGGGAGAAGTCTGCGAGCGGCTGTCAGCCGTAGCTCCGACGCCCAGCCGAAGAAGCACTGACCGTCAAGATTCGCAAAACCTCCGCAGCATTCCTGCACCACCACCTCTCCACCCGTCCAACCCAGTCTTCATCTCCTCAACGCCTCTCACAGACATCATGTTCGCTGCCAGGCAAGCTTTCTTCCAGGCCCAGCGCCGCTGCTTCTCGGCCTCGGCCCGCCAGGTAGGCCTATTCCCGGAACCCGCGATGTTTTGTGGTGGGGCGGTTCAATGCTTCAATGCAACGCCATTGGGACATTTCAAGCACAGGATGCTAACTGCATGCACTGTAGAATTCCAAGGTCACCGTTCTCGGCGCCGCTGGTGGTATTGGTCAGCCATTGTCCCTGCTGCTCAAGCTCAACCCCAGGGTTAGCAAGCTCTCCCTCTACGACATCCGTCTAGCTCCCGGTAAGCTCAGTCAATCGCATACAGGATATTCAACTCTGACTTCATAAAGGTGTCGCTGCCGACATTGGCCACATCAACACCAAGAGCGAGGTACGCCATCCCTCCGCAGCCACGCGCGAACCGTCTACTGATACTCGACAAGGTCACTGGTCATGAGGCCACTCCCTCAGGTCTCGCAGACGCCCTCAAGGGTGCTGAGATTGTCGTCATCCCCGCTGGTGTTCCCCGCAAGCCCGGCATGACCCGTGATGGTGAGGATAGAAGTCATTGATACTGCCGACACGTCTAACACCAGCAGACTTGTTCAACACCAACGCCTCCATCGTCCGCGACTTGGCCAAGGCCTGCGCCGACCACGCCCCCGAGGCCAACATCCTGATCATCTCCAACCCCGTACGTTAATCCAACTTGAATCACACAAGACAGAATCTGACATCTCAGGTCAACTCCACCGTCCCCATCACCGCCGAGGTCTTCAAGTCCAAGGGCGTCTACAACCCCAAGCGCCTCTTCGGTGTCACCACCCTCGACGTTGTCCGTGCCTCGCGCTTCATCTCCCAGCTCAAGAACACCGACCCCGCCACCGAGAACATCACCGTCATCGGTGGCCACTCCGGCGCTACCATCGTTCCCCTCCTCTCCCAGTCTGGCTACAACCTCGAGGGCGAGCAGCTCGCCGAGTACATCAAGCGCGTCCAGTTCGGTGGTGACGAGGTTGTCCAGGCCAAGGACGGAGCTGGCTCTGCCACTCTCTCCATGGCCATGGCCGGTGCCCGCTTCGCCGAGTCGCTCCTCAAGGCTGCCCAGGGCCAGAAGAACGTCATCGAGCCCACCTTTGTCGACTCTCCTCTCTTCAAGGACCAGGGCTGCGAGTACTTCTCCACCAACGTCGAGCTCGGCCCCAACGGTGTTGAGAAGATCCACCCCGTTGGCAAGATCACCGACCACGAGCAGAAGCTCCTCGACGCCTGCGTCGCTGACCTCGCCAAGAACATCAAGAAGGGTGTTGAGTGGGTCAAGCAGAACCCATAAATTCCGCAAAGGAATCATGGGTGTGTACAATAATAATGACGTGAGCTCTGGGCTGGGTTTAGTTCTGATGTCATGAACTTTGATCTGTACCTTAGCATGCCAAAATCAACTCTTACGCTTCTCTAGATGGTTCTTCGTGACTGCCTTGGATATATACTGACGTAACTCCAAGTCTCACCTCTGATAATTTGTCAACTTCTACATCGCGGAAGCTAGGGTGGGAGGAAAGAGCGCCACGCACTTTGTTATTGACGCGGTTCGTCGGGACTGCTGATTATATTGTATTTCGTCTCATCTCGAGCCGGACGTTACTCAATCAAGCAATATTGAAAGCCATTGATTGTGGTAGGATATCCTTCACCCTCTACCCTCCACGAGGCATCACTACGCGTGCTGTGAGTGAAGGAGTAAAAGCGATAACCGCTAGCTACATTCACGGATCATATTGGTAACAGATAAGGCTTGACTTGAGGTATTGACCGGAGTCATTCTTTGCTAGGATCTACTTTGTGAGATAATGTACACGATGTGGCGGCTATCTATCGCTGTCCTCTTTGTCCAGGCTTCTCCGCTCGGTCGCGCTTCCCTCAAGATCATCCTCTTGTCCTTCTGCTCGTCATTCTGTGATTTTTCCCGGAGTCCAGAGATTCGCGGAAATACTTCAAATCTTTCCAAATTCTGTGCGTAGTCTATTCTTGTGTCCATGTGATGTTTTTAGATGGTACAGATGAGTCTTCCTCAGATGCTAGAGCGTAGCTCTTCTTAAAGTGAATATGAGGTCTGCCTCAGAATAAAGCAAGTGGTCGTGTTTGAGATACGAAGCCGGCGTAGTTGCGTAGCGGCATGCGCGACTCGAACGCGAACTTATTTTTTTGATAAGTGTGGCTGGTTTTGATGAGGATCTCGCTATCGCGTTGTGGGGGTGTGAAGCGTCCCGGTAGGGTGAAGAGGAAGGTGCCCTCCGGTACGCGTCGCAGTCGCGGTCCTCTTCACACGACATCATCGTGTGCTCAATCGCGCGATTGCTTCTTCTGCAAATGCCCAAGCGTTCGTCTCAATATAATGCGATCCATGCTCACAGCAATACGCCCCGGTCAGAGATCCAAGTTGGAAGGGTACCTCCAATACGTCATCGATGTTCGCGTCCGAAAACTGTCTTCTGAGAATCCTTATCTTCCACGGACACAATCACGTCGCATTGCATCATCACCCCGTCTTGTTGGTCTGTATCGACTAGGCTCGACGTGCTCGCATCTTCGTCGGTGGAATTCCCCATCGTTCGCGCCTGCCAGTCGGTAAGCCTACACCTACACGGTTTCTTCCTTTCTTCCCTTGCCCCCTCCGCTGACACGGTAACTGTGCTATATCCGGTGTTAGGGGGCACCAACTTCGGCCCTGTACTGCCTGTCTCCTGTCGACTCAAAGATGCGTGAGCGTCGGAGAGTTCTGTCTCCTGGATTTCGGGATAGACAATGCCGCTGCCGCCGACGCCGAGGAGGCGCTTGATGCGCGGAACGCTTGCCGAGATCAAGGAGAGGCTGGATACAGATCTGAAGTGGTCAGTTTTCGAAAGACATTGATCAATCCGAACGTACTGGGTAAAGACGACAAACTCAGCTGCATCATCTGCGTCCATTAGGTCTACGCTGCTCGGTTCGTGTCAAGCTCACTCACGTGTGGGGTTTGGACTGGAAACCACCCTCAACGTCGCCCATATCTGACCTCCAGCAACGATTGGAACACTACAAAGTCAAGACCAGGACGTGCAAAAACGTGGCTGGGGAACCCACCTTGCTCGGACACCAAAGAGCATTGCCACTGCAATGCTTTTTTCTTTGTCCAGAGACATCTTCCAGAAGGTCGGGACGATCCAAAAAGCCAAAAGAAGGTCTGTAGCAATATTGATCGCAGTGGCTGCGGTTGAAAGACCGCCGTTTCCACATTGCAGTGCATGCATAGTCCACCGCGGAATCCCACATTGGAACGCCACCGCAAAGGTCGAGAATATAGCAAAGAGCGCAATGCTTCCGAACAGGGCCACCTTCGCTCTTCGGGATTGTGGGAATATGCGCTCGATGAGCAAAGCCGAGGACAATTTCGCGAGCGCCATTGCAATGATACTAAGTATTCCAGCAACATAGATCGCCTGCAGCTCTGATTAGCGGTAGCTACCTGATGGCATTGGAGCTAGTAACCTTGAAGAACAGAGTCAGCTCCTTACCACTTAAGCCATCCAAGCCCTTCCCTAGGCCCCCGTCGATAGCAAACTGCCAGCTGACAGTCGCGCCTAGATATACAACCTAAGAAATGTTTAGTATCACTTGCATCCATGGAAGCGAATTACATACTGTGGCTGCAACAACTGCCGCATCGTCGAGACCGAATTCGATTTTGTGGTTGTGACCCTGCGCAAATCGTCCGACCAACACGCCCACCGTTATGATAGTCCATGAGTAAGTGGAGACAAGGACGAAGCCGCTCCTAGTTGACACACCACTTCGATGACCTTCATCCGAACCTGCGGAAACCATTGTACACAGCGGAAAAAAGAAGCAACAAAGGAAAACTGAATGACATTCTCATTAGGGAAGCGTGCAGCTTATGGTAGACGTTGAAGCATCATTCCCCACGGCTCGGCCTTATACTCATCGCACCGACTCTCACCTACGCATCCAGATTCGTCTGGTCTTGGGTACGTATCTGGGGCCGACAACCCAACCATGGTCCAAGCTCAGGTCTTCGAAGCATGTCAGGATCTAATTCGTGTGTTTTCGCGACCCTTGAATCTGCCGCATGCTTACTGTCCGTGCGCATGCCGGGCAGCTAGTCCGTTTTCCGTAATGTCCATGTCCATCCGCTGCACCTCTCCAAGCTGCAGCTCGCTGAATCATCTTCTGCATTGGGGTCAGCTCGAACAATCTCTGTAATTACAGCGCGTCGTTCTTTGGGACGATGTGGCCTGGTTGGTGAACTACCAAGTCTCGGCTTCACATCCATCAGGAAGCGGAACGGTTCGTTCCATCCTGCGTCGATCGCTTGTCCAAAAGCTCCAAGCCGGGAGTTTCGAGCTCAAACCCCGCCTCATGTTACGCGTAACGACGATGAACTGCCGTTAGTGGCGCCGGCTACCATGCGGACGGTACCGGACAGCGCGAGCTTATGTGATGGAGCAGCCATCGAAATATCACCCATGCGACGAACGACAGGACTGTAACTTTACGACGCGATTGGTGCATTGGACCTAACCATTTGCATGCAGCGGAACGCCCCGGAAACATGACCCTTGGACGCTGCTGGCCGTAAGAACGGACTTGCATACGGCAATGGGGTTTTCGGCGCTTGATGGAGACACTGCATACAGTGTCGGGCGTCTTTCGTGTTTTGTTTAACCAGACGAGCCAGTAGGAGAGCTGTCAACTTACAGAGTTTCTCACGCAGCGCGGTCCGCAGCTCCCTGGTTGTATCGTATTTCTCCAGGGTACTGGTAGGGTCGCTGCATCTCACAAACTCCCTTGACTTTGCCATCCCGCACGTCACCCGCCGGCCATTGCCTGGGGACCTCTTGCGCCAGCATGGAACTCAATAACTACATGGCAGATGCTGAACCAGATGTCATAGAGGAGGAATTCGGTCAGGGCGAGAAGACGGCGGTGAATACGCCGGCTGGGCCTTCGGGAGTGGGGCGATCACCACATCAGCTCGAGGTGAGCATTAATTGAGCCGCTTCAGCAAAGTAGCGTACTGACTAGAGCAGCGTTATATCAACCTCTCGGCTGTGATCAACTTCGCTGTGATCATTCTCGCTTCTTGGGAGTCGTTCGCAGTGACGTTCCAGTTCGCGTTGATCAACGGCGGTCCCGCATCTATCTTCTATGGCTCTATCCTGGCTGGCATCGGCGCCTGTGCCGTTGGATTCTCACTGGCTGAGTTGGCTTCAATGTATGTACCAAGCGTCCGTCATGGACATTTCTTGACGACTCGACAGAGATCCAACCGTTGGTGCCCAGTATCGTTGGTCAGCCAATCTCGCTCCGGCTGCTCCTCGCTTCTGGGGTCTACTGCAAGGTGAGTAGAAGTAGGCACTCATGCTTCTTACAGCTCACGTTACAAACAGGATGGATAACTGTTGGTGCCTGGTGCTTTGCATGCAGTGGACCGCCTTCCATATTAGCCAACATCATCACGTCATTGGCGATGTTCAACAACGAGGACTACGTTCCTGAACGATGGCACACCAGCCTCATGATGGTCGCGCTCATGATAGTCCCCTTCATCTCGAATCTCTGGTTTCGCAAACTTCTCGATGCATTCGAAATCACTGGTGGCATACTTCACGTCTGCCTCTTCATTGTGTTAGTCGCCATCTTCGTCGCGTTTGGACCGCGCAGCGACCCTGACTTTGTCTTCAAGACATTGATATGGGAAGAGTCGGGTTGGAATAACAAAGGTGTTTCTTGGGGTCTCGGGCTTCTGAGTATGTCGTTCGCCGTTGTTGGAGCAGACAGTGTTTTGCACATGTGTACGTTTACGAGTTTGCACACAGTGCTCATCTACTGACTGGAAGTGAAGGTGACGAGGTGAAGAAGGTGCGAACGCGCGTGCCACGCAGTATCATAATCACCTCTGTCGCGAACTCAGCGATGCTGATCGTCTTTGCTACTATCATTCTCTTCTATATGGGCGCCACCCCGCTTCCAATCCTATGGGTCATTTACAACATCACCGGTTCCTCAGTGGCAGCCAATGTTCTCACCACACTCATAGCCCTCCTCATCTTCTTCGCACTCTTCAACATATTCGCGTCCGTCTCTAGACTTATTTGGTCATTCGCACGCGACAACGGGCTGCCTTTCTCCGACTTCTTCTCCTACGTAGGTTGCCTGTACGACTTCTCATATCGCATTCGGCTGATGACCTTAGGTGCATCCCACACTCAAACTCCCCGTAAACGCGCTTCTCCTTGTTGGAACCATCGTAACATGTCTCTCTCTCATCTACATCGCCAGCGCGACCGCCTTCAATGCGCTCATCTCACTTCAAGCCCTCGCGTTGCACATATCGTACTTCTTCCCGATCCTCTTCATACTCCTACGTAAAATCCGAGGCCCACCGCCACCTTACGGACCGTTCAAGCTTGGTTCCGTGGGTATACCCGTCAATACATTTGCGCTGTGCTATCTGGTCTTCGTGGTACTTTGGATGCCGTTCCCTCAGATTTTGCCAGTCACACGAGACAACATGAACTACGCGGGACCCATCTTTGGTGCGGTCGTAATCGGGGCTTTGGCCCATTGGTTCATTAGTGGGCATAGGACGTTCAAGATGCCTGTCATTCGGTATGAGTAGACCATGGTCGGGGCGGGCAGTACTACACATGTTGTTGGCTTTAATAGTATGACTTGGCATGATCTTCTCCGGCATATAGCTCGCGAGAAGTCGATAGATTGGTACTTAACGAGCATTCATGAACGTTGTTATGCGAGGTCATTCACAACCGTACAGAGCCCAGTGTCATTTTTGCATAATGACAGCGCTGCGTAAGGCCAACCCATCGCTGTGCCCCTGCGCCCCGCATGAGCAGCCATCCGGCGCAGGGAAAGATCTCCAATTCCCTCATCAAATTGCGACCAACTGCGCCGCGCACCTGCATGTAATTGCACTGCAATGGGATGGGAGGATTTAAGGCCGACAAACAACAATGAACAACGTCTTGGCGGTGAGCTTGTATGGCTTAGAAAACACCCGGACGCTGCTGATTGGTGGGGGATGACCAACTGCAAGTTGTTTACTTACGTTACACTGGGCCTGACCGGACGACGTCACAAGCTGACGGCTTCGTCGTATAAGGGGAAGGAGTATCAGGGCGAGCGAGATGTGATAGCTGTACTCAGACCTTACTGTCCGCTCAATCAGTCCGCAACATTCTCCCTACATCGAAATCCTCCTACAATGGCTCCAACCCTTCCCCCAATGCCGCTTCCAGGCCTCATCATGGTGCCCAACTGGACAGCCCAGAAACACGAAGCCTTCGTCATGAAGACCGAAGGCGTGCCCACGAAGAAAGCCCAAAGCCTTGTCAGCTACTGTACGTCTGATGAAAACGCTGGAGAACCGTTCCTGAAGATATTGGAGGAAGAAAGGAACATCGTCAAGTTCATGACGATGGATGGACAGGAGGCTATGCGCATCAACGTCCATAGACACACGCTCGCAAGGCCCAGTGCAGAGTACAAGGCAGTGAGGAGCGCGGATGCGAAGCCGTTGTGGGATCTGGAGTTGAAGGCTGGTTGGAGGGTGCCTAGCTACAGTATGTTTCTTCCCCGTCTATCCCCTGCTTGCCATTGCCGTCGCCTACTCTTCACCTTCTCTTCAGACTAATATACCCGGTCTTAGACATCACCGTCCACGACAAATACGTCGAGAACCAGAAGATCGAGTTCGAACGCAAAGTTGCCGGTGAGGAGAAGGGCCTCGTTGTCAACGGCAATCCAGTCATGACCATCTCTCGACACGCGAAGTGGGCGCATATGCATGCCACCTTCGTTGTGCATGTCGCGCCGGGAATGGATCTCTTGTTCGCACTCGGTGTCGCGTGGATTCGGTCGGATAAACAGAGGCAGGAGGATGCCGTCAATACTACGCTTTTGGTAGTGTAGAGGGACGAGAGGACGATTCTTGCTTAGCGTACGAGTTACAATGGCGATAGAAGATGGGATTTGAGAGGAGGTGAGTCTCTGTTGCAAACGCAGCATAACGGGTTTTGGATACAAACATCTAGCGTCTTGATCATACAGGCTCGTGTTGGTTCCGCTTCTGCTTCTTGAACAACCACTTGGATCCTCTTGTACGTTCATGCTCATGAGAGTACGATCGCTCGGGGAGACATCCAATCTTGGGTAAAGCCGTGACTTCGTTTGCAATGTTTACACGTACGTCTCCCAATTCAATCTCATTTTGTGGTACCTCGCGTAGTTCCATGGCGTTTTTCTGAGCTTCATTCTCCTTTGCTGACCAAGCCCGGATTCGAGTATCGGTGTCGCTATGATTGCTCATCGCTGAGCTGAGGAGGCGAGAACCGCCGCGTGGATGTGACGAGAAGCGTGAAGTTAGGGGTGATGTCGCAACCCAAGGCCAGCGACCACTGGCCATACTCTTCCTGGTAGCCAGTGGAGAATCACTCTCTTCAGCGCCCAGAGAAACCCAGTCCCAGCCTGGAGGCTTGCGCCACTCTTTCTTCCCTGGTTGTTCCACTGGGGCGGCATGGGCGTGCACGTTCTTTGGGTCCGAGTTCTTTTGTTTCGAGGACTGAGTGATTTCGGTAAAGAACTCAATAACGTTCTTGGGCAGCATCCTGACCACCAGTATTCGAATGGATGGCAGCGATACGCAGGCAAAACCTGCCGCAAGTTCCAACTCCGTCCAGACGGTGACCTTCACGTAGTCCCAGGTAGGGTCCACAGAGATCTTAAACGTGAGTAAGACGAATAGGCGGATGATAGTCGCAATGCATCCGAAAGTTCCGATGGCGAACATGAAGCAAACGGCGACCTTCTTATAGCGCCTCATCTGTAAGTTGCGGATGAAGAACAAAGGTAGGATTAGCAGGAGGATGTCCTGCACGATAGCGCTGATAGAGTTTGCCATCGGTACTGCTTGTATGTCCAGGCACTGCCCCTTGATGTCTCGGTTCCAGAAGGATTCAACTGGAGTGCATATGAAGATTGTCAGGAAGACGATAACGGTCGAGTTGATGATGATGCCGGCTCCGAAGATGTAAGCGGTGATGCGGAAGCTTTTCGTTTGGAAGATCTCGAGGTAGAAGGCGATGAGAGAAAGCTTGATGAGGCCCAGCACGGCGATATATGTCGACCAAGAAATGTAGACTGCTTTGTGTTAGCATGCCGATAGCGATATCGCAAGGTATGGATGCTTCATACAGTAGCGGAGAATTGGCGACAGTGCCCCGTCTTCAAGATTCCACAAGTGCTCGCCGAAGCCACGTTCCGTCACTATATTGCGTTAGTTACAGTAGATGGCAGCTCGCAGACCTTTTACTTACTGGCCAAGGTGCATCCTGCGGGTACTGCGCATAACACCAGAGCAAAGACGACGATGTAGTCGTCCATTGCTAGCCTCTTATTTACCAACTTGCCGACGATTCGTAGAACGACAAACACCACGGCCATGGAGTAAATAACACCAGTCCACATGAACATGTCAAGGCGTTGCGATTCATCGGACATGTCGCAAAGAACGGCTTGTACTCTGGCAGTGTCCAGACTTTCTTGCATAGTACAGTTTGCAAGCATACATGCTGGCACATCTGCCGCAATCCGATCGTTGCCACAGACACATTCAGTATCATCCAAGGTGCAGCCAGCTTTTGGGATAATAGCAATCATGCAGACAAGCTGTGTATTGTTAGCAATGATATCGGACTGTGTAGTTGGGCACGTACTCCGCAAGCGGGGATGTCCGCAATGCCTAATGCCCTTGCATCCAGTTCCGGACCCGACGCGCTGGCATGGCCAAACGTGAAGACCAGACAAAAGACCGACAATAATCCAAAAAGATGCATATTGTGAATAGTAATCGATGGGCTGGTGAGACAGGCTGACCCTGGAGTCTGGTCGGCGGCCCCGATGACTTATCACCAAAGATAGATGGCAAAAAAACTTTGGAGTTGCGACATAGTCCAACGCTCTCGAACTATGTTGGGGAATTCCCATCTTCGGCGGCTCTCAAAGCGTGTTTGAGCTTAGTATAGTACTCCCGCTGTCGAGGCCAATCAAGCGGTGTGGCCGTTAGACCATAGCGCCGCGATGGCGCTGTGAAATCGCCGTAGCAGCGGCTTGACTCGATATTACCCACGGCACGTGGGCTTTTGAACCAGGCTTTTCGTTCGGTAGCAGTTGGGTCTATCGCGCAACGCCCACGGAAATCTAATTCTTTACTACTGTGCAGGGAGAGAGCTTGCCCGGCCGATCTGACGGCGCTTTTCGGCCATTCGCATCTTTGCCCTATGGTGAATGTATGGGAATGTAGGACGGCCATACGACTGACTGGTTATGACCGCAATGAAAGCTTACTTTCCGTGAAGCTGAGGCGCATCTCGCCGTTCATGGCGCTGATATGTTGGTCGGCTTGGATGCTGCTTCCAATATCGTAACTCGGCAGAATGCGCCTGGCCCAACATAATTGCGGGAAGAGGTAGCGTAGTGTGTGATTAAGGAGTCTAGTCGAACGGTACAGCAGCCTCACTCGCATGTGCCCAAGGAAGGCGCAGTTTGCTGAGAGGACCCAAACAAGGGGCAGTTGACAAAATCAGGGTCCCAAGTGATTACCTCATCACCCACGCCGATCCGGGGCTTTTGTCTAGGCCCACTCGAGATGAAAAAGGGCAGCTTTGCCATCCAGTCGCATCGCAACGCAGGAAACAAAGTTGGCTGACGTCCGTTAGCCATCGTTCTTCGACGCATGATTAACATGGGGATCTTCAACTGTCAGATTACCGACAAGTCAGAACGCTCGGAGCAGCTGATCTTGTCCAGCCCGTGCTTTACCCGCTCGAACTCTGCCTAGGCATCGAAAACACCTGCGACACTTGATTTCGCCATGTTCAACACCTTCCATCAAGCTTCAAACGATACGCACGCCAGCTCTAGAGCATCACATCCTGTCCATAAACTAAGCATACTTGTATCCGATAGCCTTCTGGGGGATTTGCACCATCGTCATCCTGTTTGCCGCATCGCCACCTGGACAGCTTTCGTACGCAGAGGAATGTGTCATTCAATACCAGCAAACGGGTAGTCCCGAAAGCACGAACGACATCGCTTAAGCGCGCCACGCCCATGTGTCTCGATCCGAGGGTCAACGCCCCAAGCACCTAGGCAGCATGTGAAACATAGTTCTGAAAGCTATGCCTGAGGTGCCCAACGGTCTCGCATACACTATGGGAATGGTCGAATCGATCCATCCATGTGGAGGACTTACTTTGTCTGCCCATTTGGACCAGATGCTGGATGTAATAGCTAAGATGGTCTTGCAGATCGTCTGCTTCCAGAGCGACAAAGCCCAACGCCTCGTAAATTTGAACAGCCGATCGCCCGTACTTGTTGTCGATCTCAGCACCCTGCCGATCCTTCGCAGCTCTTATCATGTCGCGTCTCCATTGTTGATGTTACTTGGTCAACGTCCAAGAACTTTACACTTCCACTGGTGCGGAGCGGTGATATCACAGCAACTTCTCGTAGGCTTCGGGAGAGAGGAAAGGTCTTGTATGAAACTTTCAGAGAGAGGTTGCATCATCGTCCACCCTATAGCATCCCCGTGATCTCACCATG